GGCAGTGTGGGAATTTATGTATGGCTCCTGCGGGAGCGAGCACTGCTGTGGCAGTTTGGAAATTTAGGTAAAGCTCCTGTGGGAGTGGGTGCTGCTGGGATGGCTGGAGTGGGGATGGGTCGTTATAGATGGTTAGGTGATGAAAAAAGGGGGTCAACTATGGTGGGTCTGAAGTTTGAGTAACTGGGGCTATACTGACGTCAAAGGGGTTGGTAGATGAGGGTTCGGTGGGCTTCCTTGATGTGGGAGCGGTCCGATCGAATGTAGCTCTTGAAAGCTTCTGACGACCAACGACCGAGTGCTTGTATCTGCTGCTGGGGGAGGCCTTTTTGGGCCGCTGTGGTTGCTGCGCCAATTCGGAATGAATGGCTGGAAAAATTATCAGCTGGGGTACCGGATAGGAGTAGAATGGATTTAAGGTGCTTTTGAAACCAGAAACGAGTGACGGGGCGGTTGGAGTCATCTGTAAAAAGGGGGTCGGATGGGAGTTTGGACTGTGATTTCCTGAGCTGGACACAGGCTAGGAGGGCTTGGTATGGTAGTATGGGTGATTGTAGGTTGAAAATAAAAATAAAATGGCCTTTCTTGGTCTGGTCTGTTTTACTTTGCTTAATGAAGTAAGAGATGGTTTCGTCATCCAGCACTGCTAGATCGGAGATAGTGGGGTGGATGTTTGGATTGAAGCTAGATGTGATAGCGAGCTCAGAGCATCTGAGAAAACCGAAGAAAGCCAGGATGAACATGGCATCAAGCGTGCGGGCGGTGTGAATGGAATGATAACCTCTGCGGAGGGTAGAAATACATTTGGTCAATATTTGTAAGGTTATGGGTTGCCTGGTGTCTGGGCGGGTGGGATGGACTCTTTGGATACCTTTGATGAGTAGGGAGGTCTGAGAATTGGCTATCTGGGGTGAGGGTGAACCGTATATGAGTTTGTGGAAAAATTGGATTCCACTTAGATAACTCTTAATGGAGCTGATTTGTAGGTTTTTGTTGATGTTGAGGTGAGAGATGAATGAGGTGATGGCGAGCAAGGAAAAGTCGGGGAATGGCAGGTTGTAGGCAGAGTGAAATGCTTTAAAGCACTTCCAAGCTGTTAGGTAAGATTGTAGGGTCCTGGGGGAGACGGCTTGAAGAATAGAATTGAGGGAAGCTTCGAGGAGAGGTCTCAGTGGATGATTTATGGGAATATCAGTTCTGAATAGGGAGGTACTGGGGTTGGGACTGGATCCGCCTCTGGTGCCAACGTTCTGAATTTCTGGAAGGCAAAGCGAGAGAGAGAGTCAGCTATTTGGTTTTTTGAACCAGAAATATGTTTTGCAGTAACAATGAATTGGTCGCAAGCCGAGATCCAAATCAGGCGTCTTAACAAAGGCATTAGGATGGGTGAATGGGAACGGCCTTTATTGATGCAGTGCACGGTAGCCTCGTTGTCGCAGTGGATAATGATGCTGGTGGCGGACCACTCCTTACCCCACAGAAGGGCTGCGACGACTAAGGGATATAGCTCGAACAGAGCTGAGGATTTTAGCTGCTGTGGTAAGTCTAACAGCTGGGGGGGCCACGTAGATGCAAGTCAGCGGCCTTGGTAAAATCCTCCGAAACCGAAATTTTAACAAATGATAAAATACGTGATGGGTTTTTTTTTTAAGTGACAGAAAATCCGCCGCAGTCGATTTGGCGATCTGCAGACGAAGGTGAAATTGGTGACAAAAGGGAAAAAAGATCTACATCCGCACCTGCCAAGATCTGTGTCCTGATGTTGCTGGCCACGGGGGCTGGTTCCAAGGCGAGGGCGTTCGGAGGGGTGGGTAGGGGCGTGGCGGAAGAAAGTGAGAAGGAAGAGCGAGCGAGGGGAAGTGGAAAGGTAGTCGCCGGAACCGCTTGCGGAGGCACGCTCACGCTTGGGGCAATTCCGGGGACGGAATAGGAAGGGGGAAAGAGAGGGGGAATGACGGGCATCGGGGCCTGCGTCATTAGCGGAGGCAAGCTCGCACTTGGGACAGCTCCAGGAGCGGAAGAAAAAGCAGGAAAAAAGAGAGGGGGAATGGTGGGCGTCGGGGCCTGCGCCATTAGCGGAGGCATGCTCGCGCTAGGGACAGCTCCGGGAGCAGAAGAAAAAGGAAGAAAAAGAGGGGGAATGGCGGGCGTCGGGGCCAGCGCCATTAGCAGAGGCAAGCTCACACTGGAGATGGACGGTGGGGCTGCGGGCCATGGGTAGGGAAGGGGGTACGGGGAGGTGTGAGGCGAGGGTTGCGGGCAGATCTGCGCCGCTAGCGGAGGCGTGCTCACGCTGACGTGGCGGCTTGTGGAGACTGGAGCTGGTACTTCGCCGAGATGAAATGCGAGCTGACGCTCGGTGGATGGAGGAGGGGGTCTGGGGCTGGCGGTATCCGGGGCACGGCCCAGGCTTGCTGAAGGCTTTTTGCTGCGGCCTAACGGCCGGAAGCCGCTCGAGCTGGAGATGGACGGTGGGGCTGCGGGCCATGGGTAGGGAAGGGGGTACGGGGAGGGGTGAGGCGAGGGTTGTGGGCAGGTCTGCGCCGCTAGCGGAGGCGTGCTCACGCTGACGTGGCGGCTTGTGGAGACTGGAGCTGGCACTTCTCCGAGATGAGATGCGAGCTGACGCTCAGTGGATGGAGGAGGGGGTCTGGGGCTGGCGGCATCCGGGGCGTGGCCCAGGCTTGCTGAAGACTTTTTGCTGCGGCCTAACGGCCGGAAGCCTGTCTTCAAAGGAGTGGTGGTTAGCTCGGGCCGTGAGTACGGAACGCTGCGGCCCTGGCTCGCTTTATCCGCGGCCTTGGATGGAGGAGTAGAGCTTGGAGGCGCCCCTGTTTGGAGGGAAGTATAGAGGGCGAGGAGATCCGCCTTGACCGACCGTCGTGAGACGTTGACGCTGGAGCTAATGAGTGCCTGGCATAATCCGGTCACGGTCCATTTTTCTGCAGCTGGGGCGGAGGAGAGGGCTGAAGAGTAGGAGGACGCTGGAGAAGGTGGCTGACGCCTAGAAGGCGAAGGTGATGGCGTGCCTCGGTGTCTGGAGGTATGAGCGACGGCGGCGCGGGAAGGCCGGCGGCCGCGTGTTGCAGCTGCGGGCTCGATTATGGTGTCCTGCGGAGCACTGGTGCGCTGAACGGCGACTGGAGACGCCGGAGGACCCGCGGTGTCAAAGGAGTTATCGTCCGGGAAAAGTTCAATCTCTGACATGTTGCGGCGATTGGACGTGCCAATGCTGAAAGACTAGAGATAATGGAGGTAAGGCTGCTTTGATTATTTATAGAGGTTCTCTCTTGTGCTGATTGGATAGATGGTGTAATTACTGATGATGGACTGGCTGTGTTAATTATCTGCGCGTGCTCCTCCCAAAATTTGTTAATGAAACATCACTTGTTTCAGGTTTTCCCTTTTTTCTATAAATGCCGCCATCAACTTTCCTTGCTGATCCTGCTCCACCACAAAAACTCTGCAGCAAATTCACAGAAA